ATGAAAACTTTCGCGAAAAAACCTGCAGTTCGGTTCAAAAAGTATTAGGCTATGGTTCAATCAAAGGTCTGCAAGAAAATCCACTGGACTATAGAAGAACCATTACCAAATTGCAGTAAAATTCTTCGATATATGCGTTGCAGAAATGGGCAGCAGAAAGGTGGGTGTCCGGTGGATGTCCAAAGGAGAAGCTGACCATTGGCCTCGCCGCATACGGTCGTAGCTTTACACTTCAACTCGCTTCTAAATACAAGATGGGCGATGCTGCAAATCACGGTGGTACCGCGGGAACGTACACTCGCGAAGCGGGCTTTCTGTCGTATTACGAGGTGCGTCATGTGGAACCGCAGTTTTCTACGCCTAAACAAATCACGAAAAATTACTAGCAAATACGCGTTAGCCAGTTTACGAATAGCAACGTTGAGCGTTATAACCCCTTTCCAAAAATACTCATTTGTGGTCCATACCGCATCGTCTTGCCTCTCAATCTTGCACTTTTAATAGCAAAACATCTTCCGCGGTTCGCGCCTTGTGAGCTACGTTTCGTTGGTCCGCCCTACCATTAAAGATTACCACTGATGCGTAGTAGATTCATGATTGAGTTAGATTTGCCCCCTGTCCATATAAAGTAACACAGTACATTAATACGTATACTTGACATGTACTTAGGCAGGTAACCAAAAATAGTAATAAAAATAATAATAGAAGCATTACCGTCACAGGTGTGCGACATGCTCAGGTCGGGAGCTACGCGAGTGTGGCATAATGATCACCAGGCGCCCTACGCCTATCTTAGCAACCAATGGGTCGGTTACGACGACGAGCAATCCATCGCTAACAAAGTAAGTGCAGCTCTGTAACATAAGACAGGAGAATTCTGTGTAAGTTACACATTGGCATAAAGGGGCAATCACATTCACACTAGTATGTCGATCCAATAAAGTATTGCTGATATACATGGCGTTTGAGTCGGAAACTATGTTACTTCGTATATTATATTGGAAGCGAGCAAGTATAAACACAGCGCGCGCGCGTATGTGTGTGTGCATGAGCGTGCGTGCGCGCGTGCGTACGTGCGTATATATAATTATATATATATATATATATAAAGAGAAACGCTCTGCACGTTCTTCAGGTTGATTGGATTAAAGAAGAGGGCTTTGGTGGTGCTATGGTGTGGTCAGTCGACTTGGACGACTTTACCGGCATGTTCTGCATGAATGGTACGTACCAGCAACGTAATAGAAAATTTATCGTCCTCAGTTCCAACGCATGTGTAATTCTTGTCCGTAGCAAACCGTACGGTTTAGCAGTACTAGCCACGTTCTGATATAAATGTGAACAATCGTATCAGCTCTATGCCTTAGCGTAACGTTCATTAGTTGGCTGTTTATGTTAACATAATTTATTGTTTCTTCGTCTAACAATCAAGATAAGTTTCCACTGCTCAACATAATCAGGAGTGGACTACCATCCGCTAACGAAGTAATGATAACGTCACAGTTAACGTCATTATCATCGTCACCGACAACGTCAGAGACAACGTCATCACCAACGTCACCGACAACGTCAGAGGCAACGTCATCACCAACGTCACAGACAACATCAGCTCCATCGACGACTGTGGCGACATCAGGTGGAGGTGGGCCGCAAATTATCAATTGCTTTGAATGTGATACAGGCTGCCGGACCCTCCCTCCAATATACTGTATATATATATATATAATATATATCAGAAGTAGATAATAGGGGATAGATAATAGATAGTGGTATCCCTATTATCTACTTCTGATATATATACATATATATATATTCCTTGTCAGCTATAAAGGTTACATTCTTGAACAAACTTGTAATTGTAGTTATTATGAGCAAGCGTATAATTAGCAAAGCCTCGGTTGGTAAACCTGCTGATATTTTGAAAAGGTTCTCTACGTACACGTACGCGCACACATACGCATGCTCACACACATTAGCGCGCGCACGTATGTACACGCACAAACACGTACATACACATACGCAACATACACGCAACATACGCAACATACACGCAACATACGCAACATACGCAACATACGCAACATACGCAACATACACACACGTACGCATGAACACTATGGCATGTATTTTGTTTCATAATTCGATTTTTGTTTTATGGTTGATTTATCACATATCACATTCGATTTATCACATATAACATTCGATTTATCATATATAACATTCGATTTATCACATATAACATTTGATTTATTGCATATATTAACATTTGATTTATCGCATATAATATTTGATTATTTAATCATATGTTATATGCAATAAATCGACAATAATTCCCTGTTCACCTTTTCACCTGTTTACCTTTTCAATAGTTCCCTATTCACCCATTCCCTGTTCACATTATTTGATTTTATATCAGAAAAGAGAATCAAACCATTCGATCCTGGCATCAAACCATTCGGTTTTGGAATCGAATCATTCGATCTTCGAATCGAATCATTCGATCCGCGAATCGAATCATTCGATCCGTGAATCGAATCATTCGATCCGTGAATCGAATCATTCGATCTGTAAATCGAATCATTCGATCCGTGAATCGAATCATTCGATCCGTGAATCGAATCATTCGATCCGTGAATCGAATCATTCGATTCACGGAATTACGTGCTTTCCGGCTGGCCGCGGCTCACTTTGATCTCGGGCCCGACCGCTGACCTTGACCTTCCCGTCTCTGTTTTGTACATTCCCCCTGACACCGGTTGCGTCCGTGGCGTGTGGGATTTGCCCGCTTACAATATATTGTGCATTCTGCGGGCCGGCCGGTGAGCACAAGACGCCTCGATCGCTCCCTCCCTCTCTCCCTCCCTTCTCCCTCCCTCCCTCTCTCACTCACTTACTACCTCGACCCCCGACCCCCTCCCTCCCTCCCTCCCTCCCTCTCACTCACTCACTCACCACCTCGATTCCTCTCTCCCTCCCCCTCCCTCCTTCCATCCCTCCCTCCCTCACTCCCTCCCTCCCTCTCTCACTCACTCACTTACCACCTCGATCACCTCCCTCCCTCCCTCACCACCTTCTCCCCCTCCTCCTCCGCCACCTCCTCCCCCTCCTCCTCCTCCTCCACCACCGTCTCCCACTCTCTTCTACCTCCTCCACCTTCTCCCACCATCCTCTACATCCTCCCTCTTTTACCTTCTCCCCCTCCTCTACCTCCTCTCTCCCCTATCTCCCCACTCCTCGTCCTCCTCCACCACATTCTCCCCCTCCTCTACCTCCTCCCCCTCCTTCTCCACCACTTTCTCCCCCTCATCTACCTCTTCCGTCTTCTCCCACCATCCTCTACCTACTCCCTCTTCTACCTTCTCCCTCTCCTCTACCTCCTCCACTACCTCCTCTCTCCCCTATCTCCCAACTCCTCCTCCCCTTCACCACATTCTCCCCCTCTACCTCCTCCCTCCTCTACCTCCTCTCCCTCCTTCCCCACCACCTTCTACCCTCCTCCTCGACAACCTTCTACCCTCCTCCTTGACCTTCTTCATGTACCCCTTTTCTACCTCCTCCACTTCTCCCCCTCCTCTTTCTCCACTACCTTTTCCCTCGTCTTCTACCTCTTCTACCTCCACTCCTTCTCCCCTCCTCCTCCTCCACTACCTTTTCCCTCGTCCTCTACCTTCTCTCCTTCCTCCTGTACCACCTTCTCTCCTCCTCATATACCTCGTCCCTCTTCCTCTATTTCGATCCACGGGTCGAATGATTCGATCCGTGAATCGAATCATTCGATCCGTGAATCGAATCATTCGATCCGTGAATCGAATCATTCAATCCGTGAATCGAAGCATTCGATCCGTGAATGTTATATGTGATCAAATCAACCATAAAACAAAAATCGAATTATGAAACAAAATACATGCCATAGTACACACGCACGCTCAATTCTACTTTCTACGTTTACTACACTATGTATTACGTTTATCTTTACTCCGCAGGTGAGTCTTTTGACTGCGCCGGTAAAGCTGACGGCTTTTACGCAGACGATGCGGACTGCAACAAATACTACCGATGTGTCGGCAGCGTGATGTACCAATTAAACTGTCCACAAGGCCTTTACTGGAACGTGCAATGTACATGTTGCGATTGGGCGTATAACGTAAATTGCACTCCATACGGCATAATCATGAGATAAATATGACCATGTTGGCAAGACCATCTGTAGAGGTAGCTGGTACTATTTTTATTATTGCTACTGAGATGAGGCGTATGGGTAGATTTTCGCTAAAATAAAATAATACAAAATTAAAAAACCTACGTAAGTGCTATGAGGCGTGTGGGTGATGTCTAACCTACGTAAGTGCTGGTGGATGTTGGGCGTCTTACAAAACAATGCAATACCTCGCGCTATTGATTCGTTACGGATCCTTTTTTTACACGGTATTTTGAGTAACGTCTACAACGATATGTTGAATGAAACAAACCTTCCGTTCAAGCCATAATAACTTTAAGTAGCATACCATATACGTTATAAATCTAATGTCATCGTATATGTTGTCTTGAAAACAAAACAGTTATTGTTAAATTGTGTTTATAAAATATTATTTGGTATCAAGAAATCTGTCGCATTGCTCACTAGTTATAACGTCAATATTTTCGGTCGGTATATAACAAATTATCTGATATTGAATTTGTAAGTAGTAAGTAAGTAAGTAGTAAGTAAGTAAAAGTAAAATCTTTATTTAACGACGGTAAAACACGTTAGGTACAGACACAATAAATTGGCGCGGACCTATCTTCCACATGGCCGTCTCTATTGTTGTTCTTACAACCTAATATAATTAAGTAGCGGTAGTAAGATTGTACACGATGATAGCTGATGATGATGGTGATGATGATGATGATGATGATGATGATGATGATGATGATGATGATGATGATGATGATTAAGTATCAACGACTCCAAATTCAACAACATCAACATCACTCAACAGCAAAATAAAGCAATCATCGCATTATTACGATTAAAATTCCTCTTGTTATCGAGGTTGTCTCACAAGAACGTGACACGGTGCATAGATCATTGGTGTCATCGGTGAATGTATAGGATTACTGAGGTTTAAGCCGCTGGTAGATGTAAAGGCACACCAAATTGCGACACTGTTCTACTGACCTAGTACAACGTGGAGCACTTGCTTAGTCAAGCATTACATTCTGACAATTACTCGCCCGGTTGGTTGTAATGTCCGCATAAGTATCATGTTAGCTAGTGTACCCACATGATGTTAGATACACAAATCATGGGTAAAATTCCCTAATGGATTTATTGCCTTCTAGGCGGTAAGAAAACTGTTTTGACTAAACTTCGCGTGATCGAAATATCACGAACGAGTAATGTTTTCAGTCTTCATGCACAAGTAGTCATTCATAGTCATAACGTAAGCATGTATAGATGTGTGTCAAACACATCAGCGTTCACAATATCAATACCAATTTTCTTGCTGTACGCGTACTAAAAATACATGTTGACTAATAGTAACATTAGTACAAATAATAAGATCCTACTATGCTGTGCTACGCACGTTGGGCAAATGCACGCACAATTTATTGTCCATCCGCGCCTAGGGTCCCTGTATACAAGGACCCTATCCGCACCTATCCATGCAGTCTCGGCACCCACTAATCGAGAATGTTATAACTACGTACACACGTTAAAAATGTACACAGATTAAAAACAAAACAAATTCCAATGAATTAATGACAGAAGTATTGTGTTTCCAGCTAATGAGTTCTTTCATATATGCGAAAACTTAATAAAGGTAAAGGTAAAAGGTGCCAACCGGTCTTTAGACGGTCGCTAAAACAAACAGAGTATAGCAGTATTTGCTATTGCATTCGACAAACAAGCTGATACCTGATTGATAGTTCATAATGTCAGCGATGACAATATATAATGTGATTGGTGGATACGAAATAATGACTGGATATAAAGGTTTAGAGAAATAACTATGCTAATGATAAATTCTTATCTTAAATGTCAACGAATATTGTCGAATAACTATCAGAACCTCTTCAACCTACCTCCACTTTCTTAACTGCACGACAATGGAATATAGTGAGAGTGTAATTAGTACAGGGTGTTATTCAGCCAAATTATACAGGCACATTTAAAGTATTCCTGTGTATATATGCTTTCATTGCCGATGGCGTAACAAGATCTAATCGTTCATTTTCGACTTACTGACTGGTTTCTTGACTGTAACACCATAATATATAGTACTATGTTAGACGGACCACACGCTTGCACGCATCTCGTCTTCCCATACACGCATGCACGGACATAAACGTACGCGCGCGCAGTTTCACCCACCTAGTCTTCCCATACACGCATACACGTACATAGACGTACGCGCGCACAGTTTCACCCACCTAGTATTCCCATACACGCACACACGTACATCGGCACATTTTGCGTACTTCGTCTGTAGGTTGCGGCCATAACAAAACATTGACTACTACAATAGGTATGTGGCTTTCAGATTCCTTGTATGTGTCAGGCGCGTAGCGCATTATTGCTATACTGATCACACTCTCCTTAGCATTGTGTTGAGCAAACTGGCGTGTCCCTGAACTAATTTTCACGCGTCGTATTTATGCGTTTACAACTCGTGAATTTGGATTTACTTCATCACTGAGGTGCAGTTTATGGCTAGGGAGTGAGAGTGTAGAACCAGAGCGCGACTCTGTCAATGACACTGTTACGTATGTTGCGAATGTTATCACACGCTGGATTTACACGCTGTGTTTATGTATGTACGCATATTATGCAGGGCCGTAGGCTGAACAAATTCCTAGGGGGTGGGGCAAAATTTCTTGACTCAATTGTGTAATGATGAGCGACGGGCGCAGCTCTTGATCGCCGTCCATAGGCAAGGCCTGAGACAAGGCTTTCACGGATAAGTGACCAAAAAAAATCACATTAGGGTTATTTAGATTATTAGCTATAAGCTTATTTTTTTTAATTTTGCTCCAATATTTAGGGGGGCAGATGCCTCGTGCCCCCCCCCCTCAGGCTACGGCTCTGTTATGTATGTATGCAGTTGATTAATACTGTGCATTGTGTACGTAGTTATATGTAGGCCTATATATGTTACGCCACTGTTGGAAATAACTCGTTACAACCGCAGACGTGAAATAGGGATCACGTGACGCATCTGCGCCAAGACGTATATAGCGCATCTGATTGAATCAGCTGGCGTAACTAGGTTATTCATTATAATATACATATATAAGTTAACCTTGTTGATTTTCTTGCGGACACAAATTAGCATGCTAGATATGCATGTAGCGTCTTCGTCCTCAGAGAATTCCACAATGATATAATGAATTACAAGCGTCATGCAGCGTCGGAGACTTTTTATCATCACAAATCAAATATGAGTAATTAGCATAAGTAAATAGCATTGTTACGCATGAGGTTTAAGTAATGTCGTAATGCGCGCGCGCATGCGTGAA